GACCAGGGGATCAGAGGACCAGGGGGCTTATTTTGTTTTTGATCCTTTTTTATTTTTTAATTGATCCCTTTTTATTTATTTTTTGATCCTTTTTTATTTTTTTATTGATCCCTATCCCGTTGGAAGTCCCCCGATATGGGTTACAATTATAGCTACCCTACTTCTAACCCTACTTATAACTTATAACTACCCATGAACCTCCACATTATGACCCCTTATAGACCCCTTATAGGACCCCCTTATAGATCCCTTAAAGGAGCCCTATAACTATCCATGAACCTCCGAGTATAAGTCAAGGGTTCGGGGCAAGGTCGGGGTAACGAAGCTCGTAGACGTACGGATACTAGAGGATAGGTTTAGGGTTTAGGGTTTAGGGTTTAGGGTATCCACTCCCTTTTTCAGAAGTATGCGTGGAGTGGGTTTAGGCTTCGTGTTCAGGGTATAGGGTTTAGGATAGCTCCACTCCAAGGATCTCCAAGGCAGGGTTTGTCGCGTCAGCGCCCGGTTGCGGAGGTGTATAATCAAACATGGAGCACTTCTGGGCATCAATGCCAAAAGTGTTCAGGTCTGCGCAAAGAAACCCTGCTGCGCCTTCGTGAGGTATATAAAATTTCTGATATACCACGTCATGATATCTTATAGTATACTGTACTCTACTATGATATGTTATGATGGTAGAGGGCTATGGTTCTCAAGAGCTTCAGATACAGCTCGCCTTTAAGTCCCATACAGCATGAAGACTGCAGGCTCAGGTCTTGAACCCCAGCAAAGTCTGGCCAGGCAGCGCGACATCTGCGAAGAGTCGAGGCGTTTGCGGGAGGTGGTATGCTGCACCTTAGGGTCCCTTTTTTGGTGGTCTAGGGTTTAGGGTTTAGGGGTTTAGGGGTTGAGGGTTCAGAGCAGAAGAGTAGAGTGATTTGGGCGAGGCCTGCTGCGAGGCAAGGTGGGATATCCTACCTGACTTTGCACCCCCCTGAAGTCTGCAGATCCGGCACCGGAGAGCAGAAGTCCACAGGCGGTGCGGAGACTTCATCACTGACGAGGTCGGAGACCTGTGCGTGGATGGCTGCAGCCCATGGGATTCCAAAAACGCTGCCAAGACAAGGCGCCTCACCGTGCGCGCCGCTGGCGAGTCCGGTTCTCCACTGCAGGTTCCTGGCGCATCGACTCGAGCTACCACGTTTAACCTGGTTCTCGCATTTCACTGGTGGCACCGAACCCCTGTAAGAGACACGATGGATGTGGAAGCACGACAGTTGGAAGGATGTGAAATGCCGATCAGGGGCAGGAAGGAAAAAGATTAAGATTCAGCCCATGCAGAATATCATAAACCGGACGTGAGACGTCATACCTATCCGGCACGCAAAAGCACAGCCGAACAGCTGACCATTGCTCGAAAGGTGCGACGAAAAACAACAATCAAAACCATAGAAGCAAATTCGATAGCGGGAAAGACTAAAGCAGTTTATGCAAACATATGCAACATGTAGGCGGGTTCCCTTCCTTCCTTCCTTCCTTCCTTCCTTCCTTCGTTCCTTCCTTCCTTCCTTCCTTCCTTCCTTCCTTCGTTCCTCCGAGTCCTTCCTGTTCAAGAGTTCTTCGGACCCCCTCGGAATTGAAAGGACAATCTCAGGAAAACAGCCCTGCAAACTCCACAGGTCAAAAGAGTAACCCACGACCGGGCCCCTCTGCACATCGAACCCTGGCCTGTGCCGGTACTCGAGCCATTCTGCCGGGTCCTGGCTTGACACGGTTTAGGGTTCAGGGTTTAGGGTTTAGGGTTTAGGGTTCAGGGTTTAGGGTTCAGGGTTTGGGGTTCAGGGTTCAGGGTTTCGGGTTTAGGGCTCGAAATAAATATCACAGAATCTCACATCGCCAGATCGCTCCCCTGACATCTTCTCAAGACAAGTGCAGCACATGTCGTTGACTTCACTGAGGGCCCCAAAACCAGGTTTGGAGGCCTGAGCGTTTTGGACTCCACTCCAACACCCTTCGTCCGAGCTGCATCCACACCGTCCAACATGAGCGCAGACCTGAGCACATCCCTTCGATTCGAGCTCAGGGCTGCTGCTCCCCTTCGGCAAAATGCCCTGAGACCTAGGAGATGTAGCCCACCCTCCACCCTCCCCTTGCCAAAAGAAAGGGTCAGTTCCATAGTGCGGGTGAGGCTTGCATCTTCGAAAGTCTGAGCTGAAGTTGGAGAGAATTAGGGTTCAGGGCCAGGCATGCCCTTTCGGAAATGCCGTGACATGTACAGACACACGAGCATCATTTTCGATCATGGTCACTGCTACCAGGTTGCTTTGTCAGCAGCTCCCATAATGTCTTGAGATGTCCAGCCTTACGAGACGTCCCGAGCGCGGAATCGTACGGATTTCGTCGCTTTGCGGTAACCAGTTGCAGCATTGAGGGTTGTCCACTTGGCAAGTAAAACGTGTGAGAGAGAGAGAGAGTGAGAGGTGGCGATGCGGGCCAGCTGTCATCTGCAGAGGAGGCTTCAGCCGAAAGCAGCTGAGCTTTCAAACACTACTCCCCTCGGACTAGCACTGCAGCCTTGCTGGCTGACTGCTGCTGATACTGGCCGGTACTTATACTAATGGCTAGAGCTAAAGCCAATGCTAACGCTGACACACGATATTTCCCGTATTACTGCGGCCCCTTGTGCCTGGCTTTCCGTTTGATCTGCCAGCGCTTTTGAAGAGGGCTTCTTCGACCTGAGAGTCGAAGGCCCGAGCAGAGGCATATTATCTTAGGTTATGTTATCGTATGCTTTACCATTATATTCCTTTTATGTTAGAATATGTTATCTCATATTATCGAGTTCTGTCCACTTCCACGAAGCCGCAATACACTTGATGTGTGTGGCAGGAGCTCAAGGGATCTGGCAAGAATAGCCGGAAGAACAGACACGCGCGACTTGCCGCAGATATGCAACTTGCTAGCAACCACCTCGTCGCCCCACCCCTGCTTGACACCACTTCATCTGAGAGGCATCTTTCTCGCCATGGACATGGAAAATCGATCACGCAGGTGCGCAGCAAGTCAGCAGCTGGTGGAGTATCTGTGTATGCAGCGTTATCTGATCATGGCTTAAACCTCCCAGTCTACACGACCACATGCTGCTTAGAAACGCTACAAGCTTGGCTTGATTGATGCCTCGTGCGTTTCGAGCTGTCGCTGGGAAGTTAGGTAGACACGACTCGCAATGCGCATCATCGAGCGATCATTTCTTTCAAAAGCAGTGGAAGATCGCTAGCAACTGCAAGCCAAACGCAAGCCCAAGAACATGTTGCATGTCTCCGTTCCTCCAGGCGTGCATCGAGAGCCACTCCGGTCATGCTCCACACAAGCGCTGTGGCAAAGCTGGGAAGCGCAAAACTCTCTTTGCAGCTCCGTCGGTTGAAGTCTTCAGATATGCGCACTGCTGGGCCCAGAAGCCGCTCTTTCGGCCGGGCCAGCAGATGCCTAAGACATCGGGAGCTCTTGAGAAACTCTGAGTTTTAGATAATGTAGGGGCCTGAATAATTAGAAGACAGTTTTTTGCTCCTTTTTATAATATAGTTATCATAAGGAACCCTAAGGAATAATGCTGGTAATAATTTCGGCTTCTAAGTACAAGCCCAGTAAAACCGTGGTTCTGTCCCAGGCGAATCCTCCTTGGACTGGCCTTGGACCCCCCGGGAACCTGGGCTCCTCAAGCAAAGCGCTTCGGGTCGAACTTCGCGATCATGCGCTGCTGCAGCTCTGTTCGGTCCTTAGAGGTGGCTCTCTGCAGTTCTCGGTGCCTGGAGTGACGGTTTTGACACAGGCCGCGGTTCAGTCCGATCTTTGAGAGCGCTAGTGTGGTCCTCACTCGGCTTGCAAGCTCTTTCGATACGAGCCTGGTGCGATGCACTGGTAGCCCTGGACTCTGAACTCGAAGAGCCGAAGAGCCCCTGAATTCACTACACACCTCGGTTTTCGGAAGAAGGGAAGACCAGTGCCACGGAGTAGCCGACGATCCAGCCACGAGGGCGGCAAGCAAGTCAGCGACGGCAGGTGCAAACCTTTGGAACAACCAGGATGTCTCCTTGACCGCTCCAAGCAACTGCTCTTGTGCAGGGGCACATAGTTTCGAAGCCATTGCATCAGGGTGTCCCTTCGTTTTCCTACATGTACTAGTAGCAGTTGATAGACGCTGGACTTCATCGTGGTTGAACGGTGTGCTTCAAGCTTCCTACTCGGCTTCGTCCATGCACCTTACATGAGCTTGGCAAAGGAGCTGGAACCCAGAGCCACTGAAGCCACAGGCCAACACCACGCTGCGATCCTCAGAGCAGCTTGCAATGGCAGTGCAGTCGAAGGGGTCTTCTTCCACCGGGCATGAGAAACTAGTCGGGTCGAAGGGGTCTCTCTCTCCGTCTCTGTTTCTCTCTCTTTGCGAGCATCAGCCTCGGGCACTGCACTTGACCACAGGACCCGATGACAGATTCGTGTTCGAGTCTTATCCAGCCGCTAGCCTTCTGTTCCAGCCAGTTGGAAAGCGCGAACATCCGGAATCTAACGACCGAGTCAAGCCCAGTGCAACCAAGACACATCAGGATGTCGCCCCACAATCATCTGTAAGTCTGGAGTAAGCTGGTACAAACACCGCATGTACCTGATTTCGCCCCACCCTCGCTCCTCTAGCACTCTTGGTCAGTTTGGTCCGGTTCTGGCTTCTCTCTCAGAAAAGCAGCAACTCGGCTTGGAACAGCTCTGCTTGGCCAAGTGACCCGACTGGGTGATCTGCATCTAGGCCAGGCATCTTTTCCTTGATGAAAGCCTGGGTGAGAAGGGAACATGCAAACTGTGCCCTGACGGGTACTTGGAGGTTCATTGGGGTTAGAAGTCCCCTAATATAGGTTCTACTTATAATCACCCTACTTATAACTATCCATGAACCTCCAAGTATGGTACGGTATGGTCCCTAACTGGTCCTACGTCTCTCGCAGTCGTATCTTCACTCTCGGCCTTGATCTTGGAGAGTGAGAACTCGTCGCGGTGGTACTCCTGCTTCTTCCAGGCATGCAGGTCAAGCCTCAAACCCATCTTAGACCAGGCATGTCTTCTGGGATCACAATCCGCTCCTCTAAGATACCTGAACCCTCAGCCCTAATGAACAAATGCGAAAGTCAAGGCCCCTAGGTCTGGCCCCTGCAAGAAGCGGTCCTGCTCCGTCCGGAGTTCCTGCGAAGAGGCAAAGCCAAAGTCTTATGGAGGCGGCCATGCTCCAAGCGGCGTGCTTCCCCAAATCGATCCGAAGGGCTTTGGCAATTGTGGAGTATAGCGGTGTGGCAATATGTGGGGCAACGAAGGTTCGCGAACACTCGCGCACACCGAGAATATAAGGTTGGCATCAAGCAGCGGGCCTTGCGAATGTTCGGCAGCTTATCCTGCGCCACTCAGCCAGCAGGAACATTGAGATGTCATTGGGTGCTAGAGCTTCCGACAACCTCGCAAAGTCCTACATTACCACAGTCAGGTCATGTGACAACACGAGCCTTCGAGGCGCGACCCGACTCCGTCACGACCTGGGAGGCCGGCAGAAGCTGTCCGCACTTCAGATTCGATTCAGCACAAGACCCCGTCTACTGGGTCCTTGTTTAAGGGATCTAGCTTAAGTTACCAAAATAGGGATCTATAGTAAATGATATGGCTTCCTTATTATGGTAACTTAAATCAAATCCCTGAACAAGAACCCAGTCTAGCTTCTGGCCCAATGCACCCAAGTGGCAAAGTCGTCTGTGTCCAAGAGAGGACCCTGTCGATGAAAGCCGACCTTCCTCGAGCTGATCATGGGAAAAACTCCAGCTCTCTAAAATAGCACCCTAAATAGTAGGATCCTTATTATAAGGACCCCAAAATAAGGTACCCCTTATGTTCGGAAACTCCCAAGTTAGTCTTGAAGACTCAGACTCGGGATCTCTGATCTTGTCCGTCACGGCGTGCAATCCGTTCGCCAACAGTCTGCAGCTGGTGTGTGTGTGTGTGTGTCCGCGATATCCTAAAGCCAGGCCCCAAAAGCCCATAAACCCCTGAACGGCTCCAAACTCCTCAAATTCCTAGTTATGTTACTGACTAGCTTGGCCCCTGAAATTGAAAGCCGCTGAAACCATTCGTAAATAAGATTTTCTTCAACCCAAAAAAAAAATGTAAAAATATCCCCAGGGCCTGCCTACGTAGGAGTTTTGGCGCCTTGGGCCCCGAACTCGCCGTCGCCAGTCTCAAATGCTCGCTCAGTGTCACTCCCTGCGATCCGCTGCTTGTGAGCGGGCAGTGCGGCGTCGTGTAGAAGTAGAGACCTTGGTGCTTTAGGGCTTGAGGCTTTCGGGCCTGAGGGTTTAGAGTTTGAGGGTGCAGTTTGAGGTTCAGGGCCTTCGACAAATCGAAGTTGGTAAGTCCACTTTACCTTCCTTCCAACGACAGGAAGAAGTAGACTTGCCCCAAGCTCAGGGCGATTGGCGTTTGTAAGAAGGGCTGCTGCGTTGCAAGCACTGCGGCTGAAACTCCTGCGACGATGTTGCCCGCTTGCAGACCACTCAAAGAGAAAATGGGGTTAGAAAGGTCGAAGGACTCCAAGGTAGACGACAGGCAGGACGAAAAACGCTTTGTGCAAATGTATAGATATAAACATATATTGATACATAATTTTATGCGTATGCATTTATGTTTGTATATATATATATGTGGATATACATAGTGTGACATATATCATATATGTGTATACATACCTACATCTATATATATATATATACACACAGGCACTCTCACAAACACACACACACACACACGCCCGCACGCACAAATGCACATGCACGACAGAGAGAGAGAGAGAGATATTCATATATGCACATATATATATATATATTATATAAAAAAATGCGTACATATACACACAGGCATGTAGGGTATGTATACATGCATGCAGGGGTACATAACTAGATAGCCATCTGCCCATATGCCTATGTGGCCATATGCCCATACACCCACACACGTACGCACGCATACCCATGTACTGGCTCGTTGCAAGTTTAGCTTTGAGTCCGTCTTCTGCGATATGCACCCGCATATACAGGTATGGTTATGTATGTATATGTGTATACGTACCTATGTATGTATACATATATACATATATATGCATATGTATGTATGTATGTATGTATGTATGTATGTATGTATGTATGTATGTATGTATGTGTGTGTATCTGTATGCATATGCATATGCATATGTATGTGTATACTTACACATACAAGTATACGTTTATGTATATGTATGCAGGTATGTAGGTATGTAGGCATGTAGCCACTGTATATGCAACTACCCACTCATCCACAGGTCAAAGGTCTCATGAACCATAGAAAGGTGTTTAGGACATGGAGTGGCTGGAGTGGACGTGGGGCTTCGCGGTTTAGGCTTCTCCGAAGCAATCCAAACCCACGTTCAAACTCGGTCGGTGCCGAAGCGGCATCCACCATCTTCGTTGCGTCCTTGCCAAGTGGGCCAAGTGTTGCGACTGGAGCCAAGACCATTCAAGCTAAACACAGCCGGCTTTCGCAGCAAGCGAAACCCGGAATGGGAAGCCCCTGTGTCGAGCCAGGCCTTTGTAGCCAGCTTCGCTCCATGTGAACAATGGCAAATCAGACCTTGGTTCATCGAGCAAGACGGATCGAGAGGGAGAGAGAGCTAGAGACCGAGAACAAAACAAACACCAACAGGATCCGACGACAAACATCCACAGAAATCCACACGCGATACGAACTCTGTTTGTCCGTATGTGCTGTCGCCTTTGCTGGTTAATCTGGAATATTCTGGATATGCACAAATGCAGAAGTGAAGATGTGGACGTCCACAAAAAAAAGCAATGCTTCGGAGTAGCCAGTCGTGCGATGGGGCACCCACCTGCAGAGGTCAAATGGCAACAGGAAATGGCAGACACAACCTGGAGGGCTACATTTTCGTATACTAGAACACTGCAATATAGTATGCTATGGTAGAATACGAAATGGTATTATACTATACTATGCTATTCTATTCTGCTCTATTCTATTCTGGTGTGTTATGTTACTTTTCATTTTGTAATATATTCCATACTGTGTAGATTATACACTGGATATTCTATACTAGATCATATTCTATTACCTTGTATTGTATTATATTCTACTATACTATACTATACTATATTATATTATATTATATTATGTGACCCTATATCATAGTATATTAATATAAATATCACATTGATATATTATACTAATATATAACATTATCCTGTATAGTACAGTACGGTACAGTCTGGTATAAGTTTGTGAGGAAGCTCAATCAGTCAGTTGAGACAAGCAGCCCGTCCTTAGGCTGGAACTCCACAGTCTGCTCGTTCGACACTATCATCGGGACACCACGCAGGCCAGCACCTCCAGCAGAGAACAAAACACGCAGCACCCCCGGTAGCTGCAGCGAAGGCCTCCACTCTGTCTATGCTTCGGGTTGCATGACTGCCTCTCCCTCTCTGCTCTTGCTAGTAGTAGTAGTAGTAGT